GGCAACGATCAGTGTTAGACCGAAAGAAAGTCTATTTTGAGGGGTTGTGGGTCAAGTACTATCACTGTGCAAAATATGAGCCAAATCTATTTTTTGACAAGTTTTTGATCCCTGCCACCATTGTTTGATCCTTATAGACATTTGCTCTCAATGGTGTCAGGAGCAAACAGCAATATGATCAGCAGGAGTTATGCCGCTAAATCCACAGTCACTCATAGTAAAGTAAACTGATTTAATACCCTTCTGACAAGGGCAATAACACGCGCTTCTGCAGTTGAGTTGACTATAAACTGACTTTATAGTAACACTGCTTCTAATAATGATGCTAAGTATACAGACAGGCATTGATACCCTAGACGTTTAGACAAGAAAAAAATCTGCCAACATAATTACATGTGACAAGAACGGATAACGTGCAGTTTGGGAAGCAAGGTTTTGGTGCAAATTAAAGAAATATTCGTGTCTTTTTACATATATGATTCTAATCATTGTGCTAATAGAGAGGATTAAAAGCTTACATTGCAACTTCGAACAATGCTGAAAAACAAAACAAAACAAAATTATTCTGGACATTTACTACCATTTCTAAGAGCATTTGTTGTCTTATTGTTATCTTTTCATACTTGAATGGTTTATAATTATTCTGTCAGCGACATCGCATTTTTGCCTCACAGATATCAGTATGCTATGGGATAGGGTTGATCCAACGTACTACACTAAAATGTCCAGATAATTGACACTGAAGATGAGGTTTTACCGCCATGAATTTACACTGAATGCCTGTGATACAAGGAAGATTATCGGTCGGCTGTTCAGGTGTCTGGGTAGAGCAGGAACACTGAGAAGGACGTCTGGAGCTCGTGGTCGCTGTAGAGAGCGTATTCCCGCCCCTTGGCCAGCCGCAACCACAGGGTTTCTGCAGGCTTCAGCTGGAGCAGCAGGCTTCTACTCACCTAATGTAAGGGGAAAATAGAAAATTAAGTAGTAAATTTAAAAAAAAGTAATAAATTAGTTAAAATACTATTTAGAACAATCCGCTAAGACAAACTGTATAAAGGTAAAACAATGTTTCCAGTAATGACAACACATTAGAGAAACTATGTAAATTTATCCAAAGTTCCTTTGAAAAGAAAGGAGAAATCTTATGCATTATGTTATAAGCCTACAGAAACATCTTGGCAAGTCCAGACATGCTGCTGGCTGTCGAGATGCCCCTACGACCGTCAAGGTTATGGGACTTACATACATACATACATACATACATACATATATACATACATACATACATATTATGTTACACGGTGTGATATACATGTAACATCATACTCCGATCGATGTATGCATTTAGACACATGGGCATAAACATGCAATTAAAGATTTAATATTAATTTAATATTCCCACCAGACTAATAACGTGGGTTTGAAATGTGTAAACATAAGCAAAATAAGATTAAGTGCCCAAGAGAGTTTATAGCTCACAAACATGACTGAAAACAGCGTTCCTCTGTAAAAGCATATCTCCTTCCTCAATGTTAATATATATAATGATCATTTTGGGGTCTCATCAGGACCTATATAAACACCAAATATGACTACAATCCAACGAGGCATCCTTAGGTTATCGTATTGAAACACGCACTCACAATACCGGAAACATATCCTTCATCGCAAATGTAATAATCCTGATAGATCAATTAGCAAAACTGTAAGATATCATTGCAGCATCATAAGATATTCAGTGATTAAACTTAGACAACGAATTACAATTTAGAATTGTTCATATATATTCGACACGTCGAGCTAGCTCGCATTATTATTCTTCGCAAAGAAAGTATATTTTCAGTAGCGTTCATTATTAAATCTACGTGGTCATTCAGGTTGAAAAAATGACTAAACACACAGAGTAATATTTTATCGGCATGGTGGATAGTAGGCTCTTCATTTTCATTCGTTCACATTTTCTTCTTGCCCTTTGAAAATGATTTCGGCATTCTGCGACATATTTGATATATTTGCTAATTTTACAGCTACGTTGTACGATTTACAGGATGGTCGAAATCTTTTTATTTTGAAGCGCGCACGGATGTCATCCATATAATTAAATCAATCTGGCCTAACAAAACTAAAAACAAGAAGCCATAGGTGACAATCCTCCGTGAAGTTTTATATTTTGCAACAAAAATAATCCCAAGCGTCAAATCCCAAGCGTCAAATCCCAGACCTACTGTGCAGACATTAGGCAACGGTTAATACAATGAGGGCGCGCCACAACCATAAAACATAAAAAGACCTAAATCCATTACTGCTCCCAGAACTTGATACTGTGCTTCAAGTTCGAAGTTAATTTTAATTACACACACACACTCATTGCATTCAAATAAAGATCGGACTATCATGGTCGTGTCACTAGTAACAAAGACAGCCCCACCGTCTTACCGTTCCTGTTACTTATTAAGCGCGACTGGCCAAATTCCAGCACCGCGAGTGTTACTACCGCCGGTCAGATACCCGGGCGAGAACATTTTAACGACATGGGGATGTTTCAAAAATTCGAATTTAGGCCGGACGGAACGCCCGAATATGATTTAGTTAAGCCCGGACAAGGATACAGTATCCGCGCGTCTTCCGACCGAAGTGACCAATCAGCGCCAGAAAAAACCACGCGGTCAAGGATTGAGTTTATCCCAGAAGTTTGTGACACAAGTAATCGTTAGCTGGAATCATACGCGGGCGCCGATTGCCGGCTCGTACCGAGTTTTTCAGCGGTTTTTCAGCTTGTACAGAGTTTGTACAGAGTTTCCTATGCTTCCCTGTCTACAGGATTCATTGAGGCTCGTGCGTGCGGTGAGTCGGTACTTTGCTGGAATTTCTGTCATAACATTATTAGCGTTATCATGGCGGAGGCTGGCCCTGAGACTTCGACTTCTAAGAAAGTCCTTATAGTGGGCCATTCCTTTATCAGCCGACTTCGGTCTTTTATATCTGACACTGACGTTATACAGCATCAGGCCGGGCCTTCAGGCCAGACTTGTGGCTGAGGGGTGGCGTTACGGTAAACTGGAAGGGTATTCCGGGCGCCAACGTTGCCAGAGTCTGTTATCTTGCCCAGCATGGCCACTTACCGCCGTCTGACCTTGTTTATTTGGAACTGGGTTGCAATGATTTATGTCTCATGCCTTGGGCACCTCTGGACACGGCCCTTAGGGTTATTAACTTAGCCTTGCTAGTGAAACGACGTACCGGGGCACGCATGATCATTCTCGGCGAACCCTTGGAAAGAGTGTATGACTACAGAAGTATCCGGGGCGCCATCACAAAACATATCCACACTGTGTAGTTCACGAGTCATGTAAGGTTAATTCATCACAAAATTTACTCAAATTTGTCTTTTCTTGGGGGATTGGCGTTATTTTTCACACAAACGTTGTTTTTCCTCGTTAGCAAAGTTATACAAGAAGGCAGTCTACTTCTTGATTAGTTCGTGCACATTTATCCTCCCGGCCGTTGTCGCCTATCGGCTCGCTTGGTGGGAATCGTTTAGTTCGTTCGGTCGCGAATTGCTCCTTTGGCGGGTGGAATACATCCTCAATCAATTTTTGGCTAGATATGTTACAATGTTTAAACTTTCTCTGAGACAGGATATGTCTACTTATTCTAACCGTTGAGTTATAATGTTTAAACTTCTCTGAGACAAGATTTGTCTACTTATTCTACTGTTGACTAATGTCGACGCTGTTACTTTTATTATGCTCGTTTGATTGTTTGTGCCAGTTAATAAAGGTTACTGGTATTCCCACCAAGATTAGAGTCGTTGTCAGTGAGGATCAGTTTATTTATAATATAACGGCCGGGAAGGGAGGCATAAATTCATTTTCGTGAAAAAGGAAAATTCGAATTTAGGCCGGACGGAACGCCCGAATATGATTTAGTTAAGCCCGGACAAGGATACAGTATCCGCGCGTCTTCCGACCGAAGTGACCAATCAGCGCCAGAAAAAAACCACGCGGTCGAGGATTGAGTTTATCCCAGAAGTTTGTGGCACAAGTAATCGTTAGCTGGAATCATACGCGGGCGCCGATTGTCGGCTCGTACCGAGTTTTTCAGCGGTTTTTCAGCTTGTACAGAGTTTCCTTCCTCCCCGCCCACTACAAATTCTGAACTTGCAGGCCTCGAGAGTAATATCTTACTAGCATTTATATTTGTCCAATTCAAAATATGAACCTATATATGTCTTCACATATAATATGTAGTATGACATATACAATCAGTCCATGTTATTATTGTCGGTTGTCTGTCTGTTTTATTATTTGTTGGCCAGCACATTTCGTGCCTGTCCGTATTATTTCTCGGGTGGCACACTTAGTTGCCTGTCCGTTTTATTTCGGCCGTTTTTATATCTCGGGTGGCACACTTAGTTGCCTGTCCGTTTTATTTCGGCCGTTTTTATTTCTCGGGACACTTATTTGCCCGTCCGTTTTATTTCGGCCGTTTTTATTTCTCGGGTGGCACACTTAGTTGCCTGTCCGTTCTATTTTCGGGTGGCACACTTAGTTGTCTGTCCGTTATATTTTCGGGTTTAGTTGCATGTCTTTTTTATTTTCGGGTGGCACACTTAGTTGCCTGTCCGTTTTATTTTTCGGGTGGCACACTTAGTTGCCTGTCGGTTTTATTTCTCGGGTGGCACACTTAGTTGCCTGTCCGTTTTAGTTCGGCTTTTTTTATTTCTCGGGTGGCACACTTAGTTGCCTGTCCGTTTTATTTTCCGGGTGGCACAATTACTTGCCTGTCCGTTTTATTTTTGATACACCTTACCAATGCTGAGTACCTTATGGTGAGTTGCCTAAGGACTATACCGGCGAGTTCTCTAATATCGTGTGACTTATTCCTAGGCATGACAGCGCCTCTATTTGTACGAGATACCTCCTTTGCAAGATTTATTGGGATATTACGGATTAATCCATTCTTTATTTGTTTTTCCTTTATCTTTGTTTCGAGCCTCTGCAATGCCACCTACTAGAACCAGTGGTCTGCGACATCAGCCACGACGTCGTTCAGCAGCATCCTGTCATCAAGGGCTACTACTTCGTCCGGCACGCTACCCATCTACACGAGCACGAGCACTACAGCATTCGGTCTGTCACCGCCCGCCCTGCCACCTCTCAGCAGCATCTCTCAACCCCTTGGATTGGGCAGTACACTGTACCGTGGCCGACAAGTACAAAAATTTTACACCGCAACTTTTGGTGTTTTACACCGCAACTTTTGGTGTTTTACACTGCAACTTTTGGTGTTTTACACTGCAACTTTGGGTGCTTTACACTGCAACTTTTTCTGTGTTTTACACTGCAACTTTTTCTGTGTTTTACACTGCAACTTTTGCTGTGTTTTACACTGCAACTTTTGGTGTTTTACACTGCAACTTTTGGTGTTTTACACTGCAACTTTTGCTGTGTTTTATACTGCAACTTTTGCTGTGTGGAAAACTTACACCCCTCCCCTTTTATAATGGACGGTCCCCCTGTCAGGTCAAAGGTGACAAAGATGGCGGCGGCCTGAGAGTCACAGTGTCTAGGCTACATTTGTATACGAGCGATCGCTGTTTTTGTTTACATTATACGCATGCAAATCATTTGAAGACATATGCAAATTCTTGGTAGGCAAATCAGCCAACTGGCACCCACTTTTTGCCTACGGTGACGTCATGCCGATCGCTCGTATTGTTCCCTAATGATCGATAACTTACCTGAGTCAAGGGTCAACACTTCATAATTGAAAATAAGTCTTTATTGCTTCATAGTACCAAGTGGTGCCACATTTGACTCCCATAGGCCCAATATTTACTCATCAAATTATTAGCGACCTTGCGAGTCCGAATTCTCTAGCTAGAAAATGTCACGTGACTCAAAGGCGGGGAAACGTGGAAGACGACTATCGCCGCATGCAAGCGTTTATG